GCACATATCCGGCGATATCGCACTGACAGTTGTTGTTCTCGAATCTTGCGCAAGCATGTTCGTTGTTTCTCACATCATAATTAATTGTCACTAACCTTGACTTTCGGATTCTCAAACTATCTAGTTTCGTCGCTGATGGTAAGAAAAGATATGGGCAGCACCACCCACTCACTGGTATTGCACAATAGCAATGTGTTCTTATTATGCCTGTTACTATTGATGCCCTTAGAACTATTGTTGGGTAACACAAATTAAAAAATACTACAAAATAAAATATCCTCCACAAACATGGCACTACTAAATTAGGTTAAGTCATACATATTCTATGAAATATGAATTGTATTAGTCTTATGTCTTATTAAGTTAAGAAGAGTTCGTTCCGCTCGAGAGTCTGGGTTAGCTACTGTGTGCAGGAATTGATGCAGGGCCAAAGGTGTTCCCTGAGGCTCCAGCCTGCACCCTCCTAGGAGGCTAATGATTCTGTGCGTATCAGTTTTTTGACTAAAAACAATTATATAAATACATTTATACGTATATTTCGTCACTTTCTTTCAGTCTATAATTATCAACTCTATTCCAATATTTATTGATATTTTACGAAGTTATTATAAAGCATTTTACGTGTAAAGTCAATTTTTCTTCGCTCTGTTGTGTGTTTTATTAATTACTTCTATTTTAAACACACATCCAAATAAAATTGTTTTTCATAAGTAGATACAACTCTATTATTACTAGTGTACTCGAATCTTACATTATTGGTCATATCCATAGTGTTTTGCATTCCGTCACGAACTAGTTAGGTAGTTATATTAATAATAAGAATAATAAATTTAAATAAATTTATATAAGTATATTATATAATTATATCATTTCTTTCTAATTCGTTTTTAAATATGGTTGAGTACATTGATGGCTGACTCATTTAAGCATCTCTTGCACGCTTGTTACTGGACTTGTTTACTTGTTGATTAAATTATTTGTGTATGAAAAATATCTCAAATATTAATAGTAGCAACATGCTACTACTGGTGGTCACTACATTATCCTTATTGAATAAACCTAATAAAAACATGAATCTTTATTTTTGTATTATACTTTGAAGAGTGACAGCTGTGTTTATTTTCAGTTCTTGGCTCAAACTGCATTCTGACCTGGCGGTAGATTTGACTTATCATAAGTGTCCGTAAATAGACTTTCATGAATAATATTATTTTGATAAATATTTTAAATTTGGGTAATCGGTAAATTAAAATTATGATTACCTGAAAGTTAATAAATCCTAATAATAAATAACTAGGCTATCTGTATGTCACAGGCCGGTTTATGATTGCGGCAGCTCACGCGTTGTCATTGTAGTATGAGTGGCGCACGCAAACGTTCGTCCTCTAACCTTGTATGGCACATATAATTGATTTGTGCGATAGATGCCATTCCGTGACATTTACATTTCTTTGCGACATACATACGTATATGTATTATAATACTAGTCATTACTAAATGACGTTATTAACATTAGAAATTGTTTTATCCAAGCTGCGCATGTGGTTTCATCCGCGTGAAATTTATAGCTTATATTTTACTCTATTGGGTAAGCTATATTACTGTAAAGTTTCTTCAAAATCCGTTAATTAGTTTTTTGCGTGAAAGAGTAAGAAACATCCATCCCTACTCACAAAGTTTCGCGTTTATAATATTATTAAGATAAGACTAGCTTCGTATGCATTCCATGTTTACATCGTATAAAACTTAGATCAATTAACGCAACGTATTCTAAGTCAGTTTTCAGTAATAGAGTGATTAAAGAGAAAGGTATGTATAATATGATATTATTAATCACTCCACACTGCCGCATTGCCGCACAGTAGATTCTACATTGGACCCCTGCGAAGTCGAGGAGGTCTACTAGTTCGTATTAACCGATACGTCTAGTATAAATGAGAAAGTATATCTAGCTGATCGTATCTCATTTAATTTTCTTATTATATAAATATATATTTTAACACTAGTCAGTGTTTAAATTATGTCAAAATTATTTCACCTACAGAAATTAAAATATCTGTCTAATATAAAGTACATGTATTTAATGTATGTAGATCCACTAAACACTGCAATTACTTATATGCAAGCAAACATAAATGATAAAGTAATAAAATTCTTAATCTATTTAAAAATAACTGTCACTAGTTCACTACATAATCAAGGTGGACGACCCACCTGACAATTTACACTATATTGGAGAGGACTACGGTTGAAGTACACAGTAGTCATACTCTCTAAGTATGTATATATAGGACAGTTACCACTTACCATCAGCTTGTTTTCCATTCCAATTACATAAGAAATCAATACGAAGCCAGACGTAATCTCAACAAATAGTACCGAATAAAAGTTAGATATAATATTAGAGTACCTATTAATAGAAACTAATAACATTTTACGATAACTACTCAAAATAACCCCGTGGTAGAAACTTCCTTTAAATTTATTGTAATCATTATTCGGGTATAAATAGTTGCCTATAGGTTCCGTATAATTATACTATCGTAATTTATAGATGATTGTTATAAACACTTAAATAACTGCGACAAAAGAACAGAAAATTACACAATAGTACTTCTATTTTTTTCATTTAGTTTACAGTTTATTAAATTTTAGCATCTGTAAACTTTGGGATAACTAGAATCCGTCATTGCATATATGATAATATTTAAGTAGCTATTTATTTAGTCTAGTTGTTAGTTTGTACTACACAAAATCTTAAAAAACCAACAGGTAAGTTTTTTGCTCATTTTTATAAGCTGTTGAGTGATAGAACGAAAATTACTGTTCACACGTACTTATATTAAGTTTATTTGTTTAATGATTATTTCTAATACCAGTATAGTATTAAAAGTTCGTAACTAGAACGGGTGTTAATAATTTTAAATTCTTAAGGGATTATAAGAAAAATATCCATACTAGATTTGGATATTCTAGGTCAATACCGTTGTACTTTTAAGTTTTATAATAAGTTAAAATATTCATGACCCCAATTCTTTATGATGAGAAATCTAACATAATACACATACCTACATAAAAACGCAAATCCTCCCATAAACATAATTCTACTATTAATGATCTGTCACTTTCCTTTATCATTTCTTTACGTTTATTTCTTGATTTTATACTCAACAATCAAAAATATGATCTTGTAATGATCTTGATGATTATGGTCTATAATATTTAAAAAGTCAAGATTATATTTTAGAATTATGAAACCCTAAAACAACAAAAAGGTTCTTTCAATCATAACAGTGCGTTACTAATTAACAGTTTCGTGCGACTGTGACGTGTTGCAAAGAGAAACAATGGTTCAGTTCACATTATCAGATCGAGTTAGAACGAATTTTTATTACTCTATCCGCTTAAAAGGATACAACAAAATACGAGTACCTTATACGTTACGCCGTTTCAGATTTGGACCTCGCTTAATAGTTTGTTAGCCTTCTATTCTTAACGACGTCTTGTGCAGATACAGATACAATCACGTTACGTAAAAATCTCCGCATTTTGACATTCTATCTATTATTTTATATGGCCCATTCATAATGAAGATATCTATTTTAAGCTTTTTTGACGGGGATGCCAAGTTATATACAAATTTGAGAACATTATGTCAATCATGAAAGTACAAAGGGAAGGGCAAAACGAGTGAAATGTATTCCTAAAAAGATAAACTTATAATCGAGAACAATTCCCATTACTCCCAAATTTAATTATCATTTAATATTATCAGTACTTATGTAGTATGTTACACAATAAAGCTACGGAAGTAAATAGTGAATATATATGTAGGTATGTAATTTATGTATTAACTTTGTTTAAGAAATTAATCATAATTATATTAAACGTATCTTGAAGAAGGATAACGGTTTAGGCGTAGCAAAGTAAACAACATTAGTAAATTATTTAAAATAACTATAAAATTTGCGTTTCAGATATAAATTTAATTAAGTGTAAATAACCTTCGCAGAGGTTTTAAAACTGTAAAATATTCTCACGCCATTCAATAAATGGAAGTGAAAACATAAATAGTGTCAAGAACTAGTGGACGAAAGTTGTTCATTCACTCAGTAGCATAACATTGCTCGTTATCAGTCTTTTTTGCGAATGGACAGGTTTTGAGACTGTATTAACTTCAAGGTTAATTGTATGACGTTGTAAATTAATATTGTAATAAACTCAAACAAGTTTATAACTACTTATAGAAGCACAAAGATTAAGAGATTTAATTATTGCGAGCTTTTATTACAACGACTGTTTCTAGAGATATATGTAATTCTAGAAACATAGTCGTTGTAATAGTAAAGAGGAGAGTGGTACTGTGTAAAGAGGAAACTATAGCACATAATTAATGTACGCATTAATTACACTTAAAAAGTAACGCAAATGCAATGTAGTGTGTAGTCTTTTATGTCCTGCTAATTCTAATTCTGTGTAATCTCCTAAATTCTGTTAATCTTACGCAGATCACATAACCACTATTCACCGTTGCGAATAGTGGAAAAAACTGATTATAATGGGTCAATGTACGCTTATATTACATTATATTGCTAATTATATCACATATATATATTTCATAACTAGCTAGTGCTCGTGCGAAGCCGGGGCGAGTAGCTACGCACGGGTGTACATGTATTATATATATACATTTTCCTCTTGAATCACTTTATCTACTAAAACAAACCGATTCAAAATCCGTTGCGTAGTTTTAAAGATTTAAACATACATAGGGACGGACAGACAGCCATTTTGTTTTATACTATACAATGATAATGATGAAGAGGAAAAAAAGGAAAACATTAAATCTCCTAATGAACTCGTACTGATGATCAAATATTATAGTTTTCATTATTTTATATAAAAATAACCTGTGAGAAGACTTTCCACTACAGTAAAATGTATGCAATACGTAATTATTACTAATGTTAAATGATGTAATTTTAATATGTAAGACTCACCTTTCAACCAAGGGTAAAACATTATCTAGGAACTCGAAACCAGCGTGGGTCGTGTATGTAATAGTTTCATAACAAAGTATAGTGCCATGGTCTGCGCGTACATAGTTCTTCAATACCCAGAATTCTCCACGTTGATGGTAGACAGGAAGAAAATCTTTATCGTTGCAAGAAAGTAGCGTCCGAAGGCGCGCCAATGTCGCATCAGATAAAGCGTTCTCGTCTACGATATCTAATAAAGTTTCGATCGCTAGATCTGCGTCTGACGATATATCTTGTCCTTTCAATATTATTTTCTCGATATCAGCAATCGACGCGGTACTCGATGCAGTTTTGTTGGTCGTCGAAATTGTAGACGGCGTTTTCTGTGAGGTTGACTCCTCAAAACTCCTAACGCTCGACTCGGCCGTTCTCATTTCGGTTTCATTTCGCGTTTCATCTCGAAAGAATCGTACATCAGCTCCTCTTTCTGAACCGTCAACAGTAATCGGCACCCATTCTACCCCTGGCGCGCTAGTGCCAGACAAATGCATGGCCGCATAGAGCAATACGGCGATGTTTATAACGATACTAACTCTAAAGATAAAATTGCGACGATTGGTCACCATTGTAACGGGTTAGGCACTTGCACTTATGGAACTAGTTATTAGTTTGCTACAACGTCCTTCGCCGTCCTCTAGGACGAAGTTTCCTGTAGGATCCTGTTCGTGTCAGCATCACAATTTATTGTGTCATCAGCAGGCGTGTGGAGGTGGGCGCCAGCTCGGCGCCGCTCTCTTGAACCGCTTCTATAACAAATTACAGGTCTATTTTAGTACGACACGATCAGAGCTAAGATAGATTTGTTTATTGATATTTTATATTGAAGATTTTAAAAGTGTTAACAACCTAAGTGATGTAAAAACGTAGTGTTAGAAAAAGATGGATGATAAATTATTATTGTTTACTTTATAATGTAGTATAGTGAAAGTAGACGTTTATTGACATTTCGGTAGTAAGAAGACGCATTCTACAGTTATTTAATTATATAAATATTCAAAGTACGACTATTCGAACAGAATTATACTATTTGGATAAAGAATGTGATATTTTATGTCTTGGGCATTAAAATATAACCATTTGGATAATTTATGCCAACGTTTTTAATTAGCAATAACCTTGTAAATGTGTACTTATTTACGGTGTAATAATTACAGTTTATGGTAAAGAAATAATTATATACGTGAGAACTCTAATACTACTGGCAAGTTGTGGGATATAAATATTAAATTACCTATATTTAAGGTTTAAAGGAAGTCGTTCTTACATCAATATAACTTAATTGGAAGATAAGTAAAATAATAAAGAAGACATTAAAAATAACATCTATCAATTATAATGGCCGTTCTAGGTACGTACCTACCATGGAATTTATGTTGTTTTTTCATTAAACTTGTTACTTTACGATTAATAATGCTATGAAGCTCATGCATGCATATATGTTTGCATGTAAGTAATTTAATGCATAGTTATGGATCAACGAGTATCTAATAATATTTAATACTGAACGCTGTCTGTACATCTATACCATAACTATTATTGGGCTGTGCTTACCACAATACATTAATGAAAACCGAGCTAAATCGTTCAAATTGTTTCTAATATTAGAGCGATTAGCAATTTGAGAAGGTCCAGCAACGGAATGGAATTCAAAATAAAAATTATTTGACTTTTTGTCTGTTTGTCCGTACGTTAGTGTGCGCTAATCTCAGAAACGGCTTAACCGATATGAGTGCTGTTTTCATTAACAAATTTTTACTAAAATACATGTATTAGTGAACATAAAATTTTATAAGTTCTCTAGCTTTAATTACAATTTTTTAATGTTTTCTTGTATTGTATTTACAAATAATAAAGTTCTAACTGGTTACGGGCTCAGTTAGTAATATTATAATGTATACTGTAACGTAATATAATATAAATATAAAGTATATAAAATATACTGTATGGGGCTCGGGTAACAAGTTTCTGTAATACGTTTAGAAACTCTGAAATTTATTGTTTAGAAAGTAACCATGAGTGTTGAAATAATAAATTACTTATTCGATTCGATGTTGCAATGACAAAACGTACAAACATACCGTCACGACTTTTATCCTAGATGGGGTAGGCAATGTCATTGCCAATTTTACGGTGAACACAACACCTGACTTGCCCACTTTTCGCTGTGTATATTTAAGTCTAACGTGGCAGGAGAAGGGAATTGTTAGTAATGTGGACTGATTACCCCATTGCTAGCAATGTACCATGTCAGGTTGACCTCCACGCGGTTCCCCTTGGAAACCATCGTGATAAAATTCTGGTGAATTTATCACGATTGGCTAAATGACCTGACTTCATGCTAATCTTATCATTCTCCAGTGGTGCCCCGCCGGCGTAAATCGTTAGAGCCAAAGTAAACCATTATTATCTATGAAAAAAAATCTAACGTGGCAGGGGGCTAGCTGTTACTCTGATTAATTTTTGGTTTTACTGAGAAGTTAGTAGAGTATAAATAGATACCCAAATTATTTTTAGTCGGGCAGAATTTGAGTCTCTTCGACTAGGGTTTAATTTCGGGTAGTGAGCCACTAGGCCACAACTCTATATAACAAATAATATTCGCCATTAAATATATTTTTAAAAGCAGTTTATTAATTGCACACGTTATCAGCATTATAACGTGTTGGGGATGAGCCGATAACAGGGCTGTTATCGTCCCATCACGACTCCTGTGATAGACATTTCATGCTTATCTGTTACTTTCTGTGTTTAACATTACTTAGCTAGAACTAAACATGTGTTGAGTACTAATTAAGTAATGCAAGTATCATGCCACAGTACCCATCCTGCCCCGTCTCTTTATAAAACTTCAATTCTATTTTTATTTTGGAATATAAATTTTGTTGTTTCTTGTTTTTATACTATTATAATAACTGTTACGCGTGACTTCGACTACGTTTCTTTTTATATAAAAGATAAGGCTATGCTGGTTTTCGTGATACAACTTATCTATACGTAAAATTTTATTAAGATCCGTTCAGCCGTTTAAAAGGCGAAAAGTTAAAGGTAAAATAAGGTGAAAAGGTAACAAACAATCAAGCAGCCGCGAATTCGTATTTACAATAGTAGTAGGAATGGCTAATAATGTGGTGTATAGCTTTAACTGATTTTAAATATAATTAACGTGTTTATAGACACGCAGTTTTAAAATTATCTTATACAACCTGTTACCTGCGACTATGTCTGTAACTTTCATCCCCTATTTCACTCCTAGCCTATTTTTTCTTGTTAATAAAGATAAGCTCGTAATCATCTATCTTCAATATCAAATTTCAATAAGAATAGTTTAGCCGTTTAGTCATGAAAACATAATAAATATACAGGCAGACAGACACACTATCGCATTTATATTATTAAGGGTATGAATGCAGTTGTTTACAGTAAGTTAAAATCGTATCGTAGCAATAATAAATTTTACATAGATACAATGATCATTTATATTATTCATGCGTCGATTGCCCTCAGGTTGCACTTAAAAGGAGTGTTATCACTGCATCACTGATAGCGTGCAATTCCAGGTTTTTATGTTTAATTGCGGACAGTGCTGATTAACGTCTATCAATGTGCGCTTCTTTTTATTCAGATTGTTATCTGTGTCATGGAATAACGTTTTATCCATTCCTGTGGCGCCAACGGATGAATATTTTCATCCGTTGGTTGATCATAGTTTTTTACCACCTCGATCAAAAAAACGCCAAACGTCTAAATCTTTTACCGATTGAAATAATATGGTACGGAGGCATTAACCGTGGGTGTCATATGATGGTGGTAGTACAATTCATATAAGTATATAGGCGATGGCTGCCACTTACCATCAGATAGGTTCTCAGCTTGTTTGCCTTTTTATTTCATAGGAATAATCATCCTTTCTTACGAGTCATTTTTCTTAAGAATTTTAAAGATACTTTTATAGATTATAAAATAGATTTAGACAAAATACTCTGTGTTTGTCTAGTTATGTGGAATTAAAAAAAAATAGTATCTATCAAACAAACTTTAGTAATAAACACCAAAATATTAATTCCAGAAAAATAGTTGTAGAAGTAGTTAAAATGTTTTGGTTATTTAATTACTTCCATTTAATGATTATATTTAAAAAAAAAAAACATTGTCTATATAACTAAACTATGGCTATTTCTAGAGTAACTCATATCTTTATGACTGTAAGTAGTAAGTACACAATCGGGTGATAAATGCATAAGTCATTTCATATTTGTATCAAACATTTATAATAACAATTCCCACATTAAACAAATTGAAATTATAACAGACTATTTATCTAGGCGTGTAACTGATACTGTCAAATCGCACAGAAATACGATCCCAGAATCCCCGAAACCGGTCAAGCGGTCTACCAACTAAGCTACTATAGCTTACTCAACACACGGAATCCCAATAAACGAGTTCTATTCGCATTTGTCGATATGACGATATACAGATCATAAATATTGTTATATTGGTGGTCTTCCGCGAACTCCTATTTATTTTCTTTTAATAGTATAAGTACTCTATTTCTGTCGTCATAATGCAATCTATCTTAATTAAATCCGTTTGGTGATTTAGTCGTCAAAACGTAAAAAATAGACTGACTAGACAAAAATACTTTGGTAGTTATAATAGTATAAATATTAGATATGAAAACTGGTATAATATACTATTATGCATCAGCTCGAAGCATACAATTATGGGAAGAATTCATGGAAAAACAATTTCACGGAAACTGCTTGATTGTTAAAGCACGGATAAGGAAATCGAAATTAATAAACATTGAACAAAACAAACTTGATAATAAACTGATATATGAGAACTTTTCAGAAATATTAGTACTGAAATGTTAATAATATTATAAAGATAAAATACTTCATGTTTTGCTTGGAATAGATAAACTCGAAAAATATTTTACCGATATTATAAATTCTATCTATACCTACATATTTTGTTTTGATACAAAAACCTTTATTATAAAAAATACAGATCTCTACAATAAACTAAAGTCGAGCGAAGTCAGGACGGCTTAATATATAGTTAATCCATAGTTAACATACGAGTATAATACAATAATACTCGTACATTTCATAATATGGATTACTACGCCCAAATACACATTACAGCCATGTTATCAAAAATAATCAATGTTGAAAACTCCATTTAATATTTATAGTGACCTATATAAATTTTTGATGAAGCTAGCTCACAAAAATTGGTTTATGACAGAAGGAACAAAATTATTCACTTTAACCTTGGATCTTAAATAATATACACGAATACGTCAGCGGTGTTATGATTAAGTGGAATCTAGATAATTTAATCCTGAAAAACACTGACGTTATCTATATACGACATTATAGATACATATATATATATATACATATATATTAAATTTAGTTTAATTCTCTTAAGAGTGAAAAAAAATCCAGCGTCAGTGTTTTTCAGGATTAAATTATCTGGATTCCACTTAATCATGGGGATATATAATAACAATGGTTCTAAAAAAGAAGCGAGATGGGCTTGCACATGCGAATAAAATCTATTATATTAATCTATGCAAACAATTGCTTGGAAATATGCCATGCTATCACAACTTTATAGGAAAACTATTTTGTTACTAGTGATACATGCCTTGCAAGATACTTAAAAATAAAGTGTAGAATTTGTAATTGATATATTTGGTCGAGTTGGTCATAATGTTTGTAGTCAATGGATATAA